TATTTATTTAATTAGAGTGTTTCAGCGATTTTATGGTAATAATTACTGTAAAATTACGGTATATTAGATTTTTTTTGTTCCGTAACATGTTCCAGTAAAAATAGATTTTACTGTAAGAAGAACCAGCAATCCCGGCACTTTTTATCGTAATTTTATTTTTACTTTTATGGTTGAATTTCTAAAAAATTATTTTAGAGTGTATATTTTTCTGCTCGAAAAAAAACGACCTCTTCGGGGTCAAAATTAAAGTTGGGATCAAATTTACCATAACTTGACACTTCAAGGTTTAACAGTTTCTGTAACTAGAATGTACAAGTAATGTCTGGTAAAAAAAATATGGTAAAAAGTATCGGACTTTTTTTTTACAGTGTACTACAATGAAACAAAATGATACGGAATAAGCAGTTTTCCCCTGAAAAGTATATCACAAAGTTTTTGCTGATGTATTAGTCACGGTTGAGGAATTTTTTGATTGAAATTTATATATTTTACTTGGAAGCTTATCTCTCTTCTGTTCGCCTTCGCTCATCAAAAACATTATTGTTTTTAATGATCAAATACAAAAATACAAATACAAGAAAAAGTTATTTTTGTTTCTAAATGTTGAGCATATTCTTACACCAAAATAAAAAAGTTTTCAATTAAAAAAACCTTAATAATTTTTGTTGTGTTAGCGCAGGTTTCGTTCTACGCAGATTTAGTTTTTGATTCCACACTGAAAAAAAATACAGTCAAAACTAAAAGAATGTGGTAAAATTTACCGAGTTTTTGGATCTATGGGAACACCAAAAATCTCGGTAATTTTTACCGAAGCTCTTTGGTAGTGAATTTTGTAAAATAAAGAAGAAAATGTGGTTTAAAAATGCGTGATAAAATTTGATAAAATGCGGTAAAATTTGGTAATTTTATCATAATACATTAGAGCATGGCATAAAGACAATTATTCGGTAAAATTTACTTTACAGTTTTGAATTTTTTACTAAATGTGTGGAAAAAAGAACTATAGTTTTGTAAAACAGAATTCCAGTAAACCGTTGACATATGAACTGAAAAATTACTAAATAAATAGTGCAAATACGGAATATTTTGGTTTTTATATCCAGTATTATAATTTATTTACTAGAAAAGTTCTTACTATACAGTATGGCAATTGTACTAGAATTTTTCCTTCATTTATTAGGATAAAAACTAAACCTATGACTTTTGCTCAGTTACCACATATAAAAGATTAATAAATTATAAACCGGAAAATTCCTTTAAAACTTTTATTAATTTTATGCTGATGATTTATGAAGATTTTTGGATAAAGTATCAAAATATCTTTGGAATTTTTCTGTCCAGTGAGAATGTATTAAATGATAAGATAACAATTATATTTTTCATGATAGATTAGTAATTTTTTATAATTTTAAAACACAAACTAATTTCGTGTAAAATTCTAAACTTTATATATTAAATATTAACAAAGTCAACGAAAGGATTCATTAGATTGTATTTATCATATTAACTGTTTTATGATAGATTTGACTCTGGTCGTTTTACTTGCATTCTTTAAATAAATTATGCAAAAAATCTTCCAGTCAAACTTTGTTTATTCAAATGTGAACTCATTTGGGATTTGGCTTAAGCTACGCAAAAATAAAATATATAAGTTATAAGTTAGATGCATCAAAGAATAAGAAAAATATGCATAAATTATTTAAATAACAAAGTTGTTTTAGCTACATTTTGTTAGAGTTTTATTTTTTAATGAAATGTTTAACGAATACATTCATGCTTTTACTTTCAAACATCTAATAATAACTGTTTACTGTTCCTTGAATAAATTTAAAATCACCATGTTTGAATTTTGTCTTGATTGCCACTAAATACAGTGATTTTCCGTCAAAGCAATGATTTCGAATTGTCCTCACCTTAGTGAATAATCGATATTTGCATTTCAATACGTTACTCTTAATAAATGCATTTGAATACTGTTATTATGAAACTATCTGTCCCATAATTAGAGGATTTGTGATTCGATTCTTACGCTTGCATATAGCTTTTGCTTCATTTACCAGATAATATCTCCATTTACAGGATGTGGGGAAAATGGCAGCGTGAAACGTTCGTCTAAAAAAGATATTAGACAGACATTGTTCCAAGAACATAAAAAGTAAAATATCGACCGAATGAGAGAGTTGATGACTGCATGACTGAATGAATTGAAGCAAAGGCATACAGAAATAATGACATGAGTGATACGAAAATTAGTGAACGGGTAAATTAATGAATCGGTATTTGCATTTTAGCGAGAAAAATTTCTCTTTTAAAATAGCTGTTGCATTTTGAGCCTGATTTTTCGATTGGTCCTAATTGCGGCAGTTGGACGTTGTTTTCTGCAGCTTTTCCAGAGTTATGTATCGATTACAGCAATCGATGCTTGTAATTGTTTACGTATAATTACTATTGTGTAATCAATTGCCTGCGAATGGACCCTTCTTTCTTAACATTTAGGATCTTCAACTGTAAACCAACGAGAATCAGGCAGGCCTAAGTTCAGATGGCTTGACTGTGCATAGGAGGAGTTCAAAATCCTAAGAATTACTAAGTGGTGAACATGCACAAAGAAAGAGCAGAATGAGGAAGGTTCTAAGTTATTATAAATACCAATTGTCTGCTAAATAAATTGAAAGCTCGTTTAACGGAAACTACCAGTAAAAGTATATTTATTAATAAAAAACATGATGGTTTATGATGGAAAAATTTAATAGTAACCAGAAAATTATGTTGGATCATGATGGACATTTTTTTTTTGTTGTTCATCATAAAACTCCATCATATTATGATGACCGTATCAGATTACAGTACGGGTAAGCAGGGTGCTAGTACTTTTTGCCGTAAAATCCATTTTTACGAAACGCATTAAGAAACAAAAAACTGCTATACCGTAATTTTTACAGTAATAATTACTAAAAAAAACCTCAATCACTCTAATTAAATAACTTACTTAAGATTATTAAAATAACTTACGGTATTAAACTTTTCATAACTTACGGCTATTAAAATAACTTGTGGTAAAAGGGATTTTATAAATGATGCACACCCAAAGTGTTGGTACTTAATGCCGTAATTTGATCAGTAATTTATTACTGTGTACTTTTTTTTATTAAGTGTAGTCATCCAAAGCAGAGCTTTAGTTGAACTTTGAAGTTTGTCTTCAAATAGTCAGAATTTTGATTGATGATAAATTCAATTTTGCAATAAACTGATGGTAAATTCTGCTTGCATTCAGGATGAATTAATTTGAACTTGTATTGTCATTGGGGATGGAGCATTGTAGTAGGTCGTAAGGGGTATGAAATTACGATAACAAGATTTTATTGTTAGAGACAAAAAAGCAAATGAATATGAACATTCTAAAAATGAAATGTTGCATTTAAGTATCTTGACCGTAATTTTTAACGGCTGATTACTTTAAATACGACAAAAAATCTGACAGTTAGTATGTTTTTGCTAAGATTACAGTTGATTCAATTTCAGTAAGAAAAATTTATTAGGAACTGAAATCGTAATACATTACCCATTTTCGATTAATATATTGAGTAGAAGTGCAAATTTGACCTCAATTGTGACAAAAATATATGAAGTCTTGACACTTTGACTTTAGATCGAACTTTTGACACAAAAGAGCAAAGGTTAAAGGAACAAATGCTTATTACGTTTGTTTAGCAATAGGATGTAGCACGAATTTCTTTTTCGAAACTCAAAATTTCAAATCGATTAAAATCATACTTTTAACTAATAATTAACTAACAATAATTTCGGAAATAGTTTCGTTAAGCTAAAAAAATTTGCAGATGTCTTAGAATGGACATAAATTTCGATTTTTTTTCGGATAAAAACGTAAATTTATATTATTTGTTTGGCACAAATATAGCACAATGTTGTTTTCAAGTTTAAAGATGTAATGATTAGAATGTTAAATAGCAGTACCAACCTACCTATGAAATGTTACAGATAATGTTGTAGAACTCCAGGAATTTACTCGGAAACCTTAATCTGACCAGGAAACCACTTGGCGACTTTAAATCAAACCCGAATATGACAGGAAAACTTAATCTAACTTGGAATCTGTTAAAAAACCCAAACCTTTGTCAAGTTTCAAATTAAAAATATGTGTATTCAAAGAAAAGTTAGGTTTTCTTGAGGTTGATACATAGAGATGTCTTGAGATATAGTTGTTAAATTTCGCACATAGTTTTTTTATAGTTATTTTACACTTTCGAAATAGGAAAAAATTGTATTTAGTTCTACATTTATATTTAGAAAAAGTTAAAATTAACATTTTTGTCCCAGATAATTAAACTTTAAATCCATTCAGAAAGACTTTAATACTTTTCAAAATGGCAAAAAAAATTCACGTAAAGGTGACCACACTGACAACTTTTTGCTGGTTTGAAATTTTGAATTTCATAAAACGATACACATTGTGTAACATCCTATCAAACGGACAAAAAATATTATACTATTAGTTTGTTGTTGCTGTTGTAGTTAATTTACGTCGCACTTGAGCTGCACAATGGGCTATTGGCGATGGTCTGGGAAACATCCCTGAAGATGATACGAAAGCATGCCATCACAATTTTGATCCTCTGCAGAGGGAATAGCACTCCCGCTTAGTTAGCCCGTCGAGCACTTTACGGTAAAACAGTTTAACGAGGACCCATACCGCTCACCCTCGGTCTCTACGCAGACTAATCAAGGTGGTCAGCCACCTGCGCACTGACCGCAGACAGTGATGCTTGACTTCGGTGATCTGCTTGGAACCGTGTCTTAACGATCAGTCCACTGCGGGACACTATTAGTTTGGAGCTTTATAGTGAAACTTGTTTTATTATGGTGCAAGAGCAATTTTCTTGCCAGAAAGTTTTCTGTTATTTTTTTTTAATAGAGAAATTTTTCTTTTATGATGAACAATAGGTTCACACATGAACGTTGCAAGAAAAAGCAATCCGTACCTGGAGGAAGAACAACCCTTTTAACGTCTAAGGAGGGGATAAACTGTAAGACAAGCCAGCATGATCTCCAAGATGTTTGTCCGGCGGGTACTGGAGGCCAACAAAGAACTGAATCCCAAACAGGCTCGCAGAAAGTACCATCTATGAAAGAAGTGGTCATAATTATTTTATATTACAGTTCTTAATGTATTCATTGAAATTATGTTTTCTATTACAAACAGTTTAATAGTACTCTGAAAAAAAGATGGTCAAAACTACCAGAATGTGGTAAAATTTATCGTGTTTTATGTCTATTTTGCATAACAATATCAATAAGGACAGGCCATCGGAGATCAATCCTCCATAATTTAAGCATATATTCGATTAATTTTATTTTCCAGTTTTGTATTTGTTACTAAATGTGTAGTAATAAGAACTATAATTTTGAACATCAGAATTTTCTTAAAACCATTGCCATATAAATGAAAAAAATACCAAATGAATGGTTTAAGTTCCGTATATTTTGGTAACCATTAGCCAAAATATGTTAATGCTTACCAAAATCAATATATTATGTTTATTTTTTTTTTACCATAAATCAATGCCATACACGACGGTAAATTTACCAGAATTCCCCCCCCCTTTGCATTCTGACTCCTTTTAGTTTTACAGACCTTCATCAATTGAGACATAATTTAATACATGAAGTTCAATTTTTACACCTAAACTTTTTACACTTTTTACAATTCTGAGAATACGTTTCATTTTGGTTTGGACTAGAACACAGGACATACCTTCTTTCACTTTATTTGAGTAAAAAAATTAAACAAAAGATACAAAAAGAACAATACAAAAACAGATTCAAAGTAGACAAAATTGTGGACATAGTTTAAATGAAAATTTATCTAAAATAATTTTAGTATGAATTATTAACTCAAAAAATGCTTAATGTCTAGCTGTGAAGAAATTGACCCAGCCTTAGCTCTCCAAAAGCTTTAAGCAAACAAATTAAACTATTTAAGCAAATTTTAATTATTTAAGTAAACAAATTAAATTTCACAAAAGACACAAAGTTGCCAAAATTGTAAATAGAGTTTTAATTGAAAATTTATCGAAAATAATTTTAGTATGAATTTTTTTTTATAGTATGAACTCAAAAAATACTTTAATTTTATTATGAACTCAAAAAATGCTTAATGTCCAGCTGTGATTAAATTGACTCAGCATTAGCTCCCCAAGGGATAAATGTGCATCATTGTTTTTTATATTTCATAGTTTTATCTTACTTTTGACTCTATAAGACATTTATTCTTTGCATATAAATCCAGCGTCTCAATTCCTGAATGCAGCTATGATGAATGATTCAGAATTCCGCCCTAAAGCGAAGATATTCCATTATAATGAAACAAGATTCTCTTTCAGAAGAATTGGGCAGAACTCTGAACTCAATTTAAATACCAACGTCATAAACACGAAAAATAATTATTAATAATTAGTTCAAACTGCATTCACATCGGTATTTTCAGAATACCACTAATAAGAGATACTATTATTAGGATAACAAGTAATACAAAACAAAATTAATTCATACAAAATAAGCTTTCTAGGATTCAATTAGAGATTAAACAGTTTATCGATTTATTAATTATGAACTGTAGACTACTTTATTGCGTGTTCTTGGCATCTTGTAGTATGCGCATAATTTGCAGTATGCCCATAATTTGGATTGGTAAATGGAATAAAGTAAGAAATTAAAATGACCTTAAAATATACATTAGTGACCTTAAAATATACATATGACCTTAAATATACAATTAGCTAAATTTTAGTTGTGATATTTAGAGCTATTAAATAATAATAAATTTTATTTGATTTCTTCTTAAGGATATATGTTGATAAATTCAAATTTTTTAAATCTATCTTATAAAGCTTTTTATCGGAGCAATGTGTGTCAATGTGTTTGGTAATTTAAAAATTTGCTTTTTAATTTTATTTTATTAATTATGGTATTTTACTAATAATTCTATTGTTTATATGAACTAGATATTCAATGAAATTCTAAGCGTGGAACTTTTAATTTATGTTTGGAATAATTATAAAATGTACCTATTGTGTTCCGGAAAAAATACTGAAATCTTTGGATTAATAATTTTGGACGACAGGCAAAAAACCCAAGTATTGGTGAAACCCTTTTAAAAATATTCATTCATATTTTAAAAGATAAGAACGAAAACTTTCAAATAGTACAATTATTTATATTAATACAAAACTTGTTTTAATTACTGATAGCATAATATACTATTCTTGAATTACAACCATTGTATAAATACTAGTTTCATTAAAAAAAGTAATTGATTAATTACTTTGTACCAGTGTTTCTTGAAAATTAAGCAAACAAAGTTTGCACAATATGCATAATGGTTTCCAAAACTGTTTTCTAAGTTTGAAAAAGGAAAATTTTTAAAATTGTTATTGTTGAATAAAAGAACTACTCACATTTCCTCTATTATTTATATACCTTTTAAATGTATATAAATACCATTATCAATATTGATTCAATTGCTAAATTTTTAAATAAAAATAATTGTATAAATACTGGCTTTTCAGTAAAAAAATAATGGATCAATGACCGCAATTTCTTAAGAATAATGTAAATAAAAATTGCACGATATGCATATTGATTTCCAAAACTGCGTTTTAGGATAGAAAGCTGAAACTTTATGAAATTGTTCTTATTGAATGAACTCAAATGTTCACTACCTATTATTTGCACAACTTTTAGATGGATATAAATACCCTTATCGATATTGAATCAATATTGATTGTTGATAGTGAAAGATTTGTTTATGATATTTCATAACAGTTTAAAATTATTGACGCATGAAATTTTCTATGGCCGTTACACTCTTAAAAAAACTGCGTCCATAGAAACGATTGGAAAGTGTTGACGTAACTTTACCCCCTCTTAAAAGCCCTAAATCCAACTTTATGAAAGTTATAATTTTTCATTTTAAATTAAACATACCTAGTTTCAGAAAATAGAATTTTAGCTTATTGCAATAAGCTCCAGTATACAAATCGAATCCTTATTTTACATCTATAATAATTCATTCGTGATTTTATTAAATAACATTGGTATTCATATTTTCTAATTATTCATCCCATACTAATTAAGGAGTATTCCAAAGAATACCCTTAAGATAAGTTTCTTTTCTAATACTAGCCATATATTAAATTCTAGAGGCACAAAACTGAATTATTTAGCCTTGCATTCAGCAAACAAACAAACATCACGTTTTCAGTAACGTTATTACTATAACTGTAGCAATCCTGTTAAAGAGAATTGTTACGCAGAGAATCCTTTCCGTAACAGCTAATATTCAAGAGATTTTCATGGAAACATTTCCTGTTACTTTCCCCATTTCCTTTTGGTTGCGTGAAATCTACGTACATTAGATGAGTGCTATCCATAATTTATGGTCTAATGAACATTGAAGTGTGTGTATTTTTGGCATTGTGTAGCATAGTTTGTATTTAAACGTATAGACTCTTCACTCATTATTAACGCATTAATGACCTGTGTCTTTTAATGTTAAGGCTTAGAAAAAATTCATTTTAAAGTTTCATAAATAATGCAGGCAAAAGTATTGTAGTTGCATTAAACTTTTTCACTTATAAAACTTATTCACTTTTAAACTTATTAAACTTCAAGATTTTTTGGTGCTGGCATATAAGTCTTAAAAACTTTTATCTTTAAATCATTATTTATGACTAAAATTTAATAAAAAAAAGACTTCAGAAAATTTTTAAACAAAAATTTTTTAATCACATGTAATAAAAGAGATTAACAAGTTCTGAAATAAAATAAAAATTTATTTTTGTAATATTTTTAGTAGCAATCAAGAAAAATTTTTCTAAGTTTTAAGTCAATTAGAATTCAAATTTTAGACATGTAAATATCATTTTCATGTCAATTTTTGTGTTGGTATGTAAAAAATAGTTCAATTGTTTTAGGATTTTGAACTAAGTTTCATGCCATAATTAAAAGTATTTTATTTCACTTTGTGGAGTGCCAAGCAATGTTTTGCACTTAAAGTTGCATTTGCCCACGAAGATATCGGTTTCTTTCGGCACTGTAAGTGTTAACCGACAGTGTGATTAATAAACAACATTATTAACGTATGGATGGTTGACTGAATGTAAACAATAACAAGCTTCCTAAGACTGGAAGAAATTTAGAAAACTTCTGGTGTATCCCTCCGCTCATGTTATGCTTACAAGGCAATGTGTGAACATGCTTCATGTTCTGGGAAGTATTATTATTGGGATTTTCGATCAAAATTACGCGAAATTTTACCATTCATTAGAGTTTTTTGTAATTTATAAATTCTAACAGGACATGAAACTAAAACAAATTTAATAAAATTAATATCAGAACATAAATAAAGTTTAAGGTGTGCCATGTTTTGTATGTTATCCCCCATTTGGTTATATTTGTGAAAAATATCACCTTTTTTGATTTTTGGGAAAACATCTTAGAATGCTCGCGGAATATTTTTAATTTATTTGTTATTTGTTTCGTTGAAAATTAAATTGAAAGAGCGTGATATATGATAAACACTACAAGTATAATAATATTTAATGGCGTGCTTTTCTAGGTGCAAAAATCAATATCAATCGGAAGTAGTAACCCGGAGGTCTGACGAGGAATTTTAACTCCTACCGCCATCTGCTAGCTTTACATGATCAATCTACAATTATTCGCTTAGTGCTCAAGAATCATTTTTAGAATGATTACGCTTGCAGTCATGTAAAAATTTTCAAGTAGCAGAAGCACATTTTCCTCCTTCGAATCGTGATTCTTCCTAGGAAGAATTTTAAATTAAGTTGTAACTATAGTTTTCGTCACGGAAAATGGAAGTGCTAGGATATATATATATAAATATATAATATAATCTTAGCTACCAGTTTTTTTAATATAAAAAGTACATATATTAGGTGGTATGAGAGAGCTTTAGGAAAGTTGTTTACGTTTTGATTTTTCGTCAAAAGCGCAAAATGTCAGACCTTACAGATTTTCAGAGAGGCCAAATTGTAGGAGCCCGACTAGTTGGGGCAGCAGTGACCGAAACATCCCAGCTTTTAGACGTTTCTAGAGGTACGGTCGTGTCTAAAGTCATGACAGCACACACAGCGCGGAAAGACAAGCTCAGCAAAGC